ACCCTCCTCCTTTGGCTTTATCTTCGATAACGGCAAAGCACACGCACACACAAAGTGCCGCGACAGAGCAAGAACACGACGCAGCAGCAGGAGAGGAGGAAGGGACGGAAAGCGGAAGGATGGTAAACAAAAGAAGGCTTTTTTTCCCCTCATCTGTGTCGTTCCTATCAAAACACAGAGGATATTACCCGTACTCCCCACAAAGCTGTCTCTTCCATTACATTGCACAAAGGCTGTGGCCAAGCAGGGTTGCGCTCAACATCACCACGGCGTAATAGTAAAGTAACTTCAGCGGTCCATCTTACGGATTTCATAACCCGTAGACACGCGTTTCGGTGAGCCGTATCTAACGGGTGAACTGCTGCAAGTCTCTCCAGCCTATGCACGACCCAGACCTGTCCGCCGCACCAATGAGCCCGCAACCGGACACGAGGACAGGCTGCATGCTCTTGGCTTCCCCACATAGTGGGTACTGGACCCTGATACCAGGTTGAGGTGGCCGGCATCATCAGGGGACCAAAAGAAGGTTACAAGATAAACGAATTCCAAACGTAAGCTGGCAACCAAATTTCGCCTGCAAAGACGGCAGATGAGCCACGCTGAGAGAGCGCAGGTAGGCAAACTCACAGCGTCTTTTCCCTTTTCTCCTTCTACTCGTTGAAGCTTCAGCAGAGCTGTAACGCAGCGGGGAATGAAGAGTGGATTCTATACACACACGCGCGCGAACAAAGCCAAAATGAAAGAAGTCAGCCACGCCCTCCTAAAGAAATAAAAAAAGGGAGGGAAATGTATGGCAACAAAAACAAGTAACAAAGGAAAACCAAAAAGGTTAATTGTGAGCTAGCTGATGGGTTGGGTGTACGTGGCGATTAAGTCACGCAGGTTCTGCAGCGTCGTCCTCTGCGACGCCGCCGGTTTCGCACTCTTCGCACTGCCCGCAGAGGAGGAGCTCGCCACACTTGCGCCGTCGCTCTCGCTGTCGTCCTCGGCGCCGAAGGACGTGCCGACGAACTCCGCCAGATTGATGTCCGCCATGGCCTTCTCCACGCGGTTGCGCATCATGTCGGATGTGATGGCAGGAATGGCGCGGCTCTCCCCAAGCTGCTCCTCAAAGAAGTGGCGCACCACACGCAGCAAGCTGTCGGGGATAAACGACGCACCAGGGCCGAAGAGGTCGCGCCTCGCCAGCATCGTGTTGGTCGACGTTCCCGCGGCGGCGAACGACGTGGCGGCCCCGGCGGCAGCAGCGGGTGCGTGCGCGGTGCTTCCGCCCGTCTTCGCCTTCCACGCAGCCGCACCGCCACCAGCAGCGCCGGTGCCACCGCGGCCGGCACTGGCGACGCCCCCTGTCTTGTCCGCATTCGCCGTCGCGAGGTGGATAGTGCCCTCCGTCGCAAAGAGCACGTCAATGGCGGTGAGCGACGGCGGGATCGTGCCGGGTGCGGCGGAGACCAGCGCCGTGTCCACAAAGTTCGCGGCGGCGGCAGCGGAGCTGAGAACACCCCCGCACGTCATCCACTCCACAATCGCAATGGACGGGAGCCCGTCCACCAAGTAGGAACTTACCGCGGTGTCGTCGGTGGGGCTGCCAGCAGCAGCAGCAGTAGCAGCGGCTGTGCGCGGTGCACCACCAGCACGCGGTCGCGGTGCCCGCCCACCGGTGAACAGCGGTGCCCACAGGTAGAGAAAGAGCGCGAAGAAGAAGAGCTGCTGCCGGAGCACGGACTCCTCAGCGCGCCACTGCGCCACAGGGCTGTCGTACACGGCGGACCACGTCTCCACACGACACAGGCCGTCCCGCAGCAGCCGCATAACCAAAAACTGAAGCAGCGCGACGGCCGTAATGTAGTTGCCGCCGCCCGCGCACCACCCCGCGAGGACGGTGTCCTCCGGTGGGGTGATGCAGCCTTCTATCGGGAAAGGCGAACCGCCGGCGAGAAACGCGGCCGCACTGCCCTGCGCCTCCGCGGCGCGTTGATTCAGCGTCGCGCTCGGCGTCACGAGCCGTTCCTGGAAGAAGGTGAGAAGGTGCAGCGACACCTGCGCACACCAGTGGAAGAGAAAGACCTCGTCGCTGCGGTGGGCCCACATGTCGCCCGTCGGGAACTCGGGATAGCTGCGCAGTCGTCGACGCACCGCCCACACCCCGCACGGGGCACCGGTGGCGCCGTCGACGGTGGTGGCGGAGTCGACAACATAGTAGTGCGCGGTGAAGCCCGCCGGCGTGCAGTACCGGCGGTCGAGGAGGGTCAGGAGGAAGCGCAGCAGGCGTTCCTCGCGCACCCCAGCATCCGCGAAGAACGCGGCGGTGGCTGCGGCGGCGTCCGTCGCGCCGTTGCTGGCACCTGCCGCCGCCGCAGTCGTCGTCGTCATCGGTGTCCCGGCTGCTGCCCCGGTGCCGTTGACGACCGGAATAGAAAGCAGCACGGAAGCCACATCGACGCCGTCCTTCGCGTCTCTCCTCACTGCACCCATCGTCGTCTGTGCGGCGGCGGCAGTGGCGGCGGCGGCAACGGCCGTGAAGGACATGTTGCTGATCATGCGGTTCGACATCGATGCCGTGGGGGAGAAGGCGCTCCCGCCGACGCCGCCGGTGCCCTCCCGCGCCGGCGCACGAGCGCCGAAGAACACACTTTGCTGCGGTGCGAGCAGCGGGCTGGCGGCCGGTACGGCACGCAGCGTGTTCGACGCCGTCGCCGACTTCCTCACCGGCGCCAGCACGGTGTTCGCGTGAGTCACGTCGCTGCTCAGCAACAACGCCGCGCACATCCACCCCTGCACGAGGCGCGGCACCTCCCGCTGCACCCGCTCGAGGTGCTGGGTGCGGAAGCCGAGCTGCGCATCCGCCAGCATGTGCGTCATTGCCCCGCCGCGGGTAAAGTAGGAGATCCACACACCCATGCCGAGCACATCGGAGAGGAGCGACAGCGTCCCGTCCAGCACCCAGCCCGGCGCGTTCACCGGGTCTGCGAAAAGCGGCTTGTCCGAAGCGGTCACCGCCTTGTCGGCCGTGGGTGGGGGAAAGACACGTCGGTGGTGCGTCAGAAACGCCTCGGAGGACAGAAACCGCACGAGGGCGCGGCGCTGGCGCAGCAGATCAAGCAGCATCGTAGTGAACATGTTACTCAGCACGACGTCGATCGACTCGGTCACCATGGCGCTCGTCAGGAGGTAGGCGACGCACTCCATCTGCTCCGCACGCATCGCGGCGGCGGCGGCCGCGTTGGCGCCCTCGTGCTCCTGCGCCGCCGCTGACGCCATCACCTCAGCGGGCAGGTGCGCCGTACCGGTGAGGGCCGCCATGTAACCGCTGAGGGACTGCAGGAGGCGGACCTGCGTGCTAGAGCAGCCGTTGGCGTAGCGGAGAAAGCGGAATAGCTCCGCGGAGAGCGGCGGAGGTGGAGGGTGGGAGTGGAAGAGGAGGGCGGTGAGGGGGGAGGACACCGCGGCTGCCTTCGCAGGAGGGGACGCACCACCACCGCGGCCCGCGCCTGCTCGACCGGCTCCCGCTGTTGCCGTGGCGTGCGTACCTGTCATAGTGGACGGCGTCACTCGACGCAGCGTAGCGCTGGGCGGCGGCGATGACGAGCTCCCCCCTGTCATGTGCGCACCGGCCGCACTGAACAGCGACGACGACGCGGGGGCGAGCAGCAGCTGGATCAGCAGGGAGTGACCCGACAAGGGAAGCGTGCGCACCACCTGCACCATCTCCTGGCAGCGTGCACGCACTTTACGGGCAACATCATCGCCCTTGGAAGGGGTGTAGGGCGGGGTAAGGCGTAGCGGCGGTGGACGCGGCGGCATCCTCGGACCGGCTGTGTCGGCAACTGCTGGCCCCCTGACCGCTTTCCTTGTGTCTTCTCCAGTTGCTGCCGCTGATGCACTAAGGGAGGTGGAGAGCTTCGCTACGGCAGCCGCGTACGCTGCGGTGGCCTCCGCCGTGGCCGCGATCGCCGCCGTGTTCGCCTCATTTACCTCGTAGAAGATTAAGCTGCCCATAATGAGCTGCTCCATCATGGCACGTCCGGCGTGCTCGATCTTCTCTCCGGTCAAACGCGTAAAGTCATCTTCAAGTATGACGAGACTCGGAGTCAGCTGCCGTAGAATGAGGGTGTCGCAGCCCGCAAAGCCGTCCGCGCTTAGCGCCTGCATCACGCGCGAGGTCTGCGAGATCATCTGCGCGGCTTGGCGGATGCGGGTTGGGTCGCCGCCATCGGTGCCGGTGCCGAAGCTTAACAAATGCGTCGACAGGACATCACAGGCGAAGCGCTCCACGTTGTGCCGCACCCACAGCAGCGCTGCCGAATTCGGCGCGATCAGCTTGCCCGCAGACGACGACGCACCAGCAGCAGCGGCGGCGGCGGCACCACCTGCCTTGCGCTTTGGATCGTCCTTTGTAGCGGGCGCAGAAACCGCGGCGGCGTCCTTCATGAAGGGCTGGGCCGCGTCCAGGCCAAGTCCAAGTGTGTGCTGCCGCCGCACGGTGGCCCGTGTAACGCGCACCAGGTAGTCGACCGCAATGAGGCTCGCGGACTGCGGGTTCACCCTGGCCTGGAGCTTCTGCACCTCACTGTGCAGCCACGGGGTCTGCATCGTCAGGTAGACCGCCGCCGCACTGCGGGAGCGACCGAAGCGCAGCAGCAGCTGCACCAGTGGGATGTGCAGGCTCTCCATAAACATCGGCGTGACAGGGATCTTCACCACGTTCGTGATGACACTGCGGACGAGGGCCGCCTCCAGGTCCAGCAAAAACGGAAGGCAACCCTTCGCGGTGGCCTCGTCCGCCAGGCGGTACAGCAGCTCCGCCGCGTCCATGTGGCGCCGCTCCGTCAGCAGCTGGCTCACCTCCTCACGCACGATATCCACGAACGACGCGGTCTCCGTCGCCTCCTTCTCCGCCTTCGCCACGGCGGTGGTGACGGCGCTGGCTGATTTATCCACTGCCGCGCCGGCACGCAGTCGACGACCATTCGTACTCGATTTGCCGTCACCACCGCGTGCTTCGGCCCGGTCCGCGCTGCTCGCCGATGCGACAGCCGCCGCTGTCGTCGCCGGAGAGGCGCTCGCCAGGCCGATGGTGTAGCGCCACTGCCGCACCGAGGAGACGTTCAATCCGCGTGTGGTGGGCCGCGTGGCGCCGGTGTTCATGGCGGCGTCATCGGCCGCATCACCACCACCACCATCGCTGTTCGCCGCTGTCGGGCCAGCAGGAGCAGACGCGGTGTCGCCGGCGGCGTCCTCCGTGCCACTGCGCTGCACTGTCGAAGCCCACGTCGTGGCTCGCGTCGACGACGTTCCTATGGCGGACGCTTTCATGGAGCTGTTGTTTCCACTGTTGTTCCGCCACACGTCCTCGCCGGTCAGCTCGCTGCTGTTGCCACCGCCGTTGCTGCTGCTGCTGGCGTAGCGGTGCGCGATGCGACGGGTAACGAGGCTCGGCCGCGCCAGCCGTCGCGGGTCGCCCTCGCCTAATGTGCTGCTCAGCGCGGAGCTGAAGACGTTCGCGCGTGCGTCGCTCATGCCGGCAGAGCCGGGCGCCTTTGCACTCCCAACCCCCCCGGAAGACGCGGAGTTGGCGACGATGTTGGCGGACGAATACTTGCTGATGTTGGAGATGGCGGCCTTTGTGCCCTGCACGTTAGCCTTGAGGGCTTCGACGAGGTCACTGGCACGATCGACATCGCGAAAGAGCAGCAAAAAGCTGTTGGCGTGGGCAAAGACGGAGTTGTGCAGCCGCTGCGTGGCGATGGTGTGATCCTCGGTCAGGTCGTGATCCAACTTCAAGAAGTTTGCCTTGCTCTCCCCAATTAAGTATCCGAGAAGTTCATCCTTGTCGAACGCGACGGCGGCAGCGGCGGCGTCGGCGTTGTGTTGTTGCTGCTGCTGCGTTGTCGCCTCCCGCGGCAACGAGAGAGCTGCTGTGCCGGGTGCGTAGCGCTCTTGTATCATCGCCTCCCGCTGCGAGCGCAGCCGATCGGCTATCGTCTTGTCTTGCCGCTGCTGCTGCATGCGCTGCGACAGCCGCTGTGCCTCGTCGCGCGTCGTGGAGGCGCGGCGGCGGTTACTCGGCAGCGGGGGCGGAGCCGCACGGTCCCCATCTGCGGGGCGTCGCGTGACGGGCGCAGAAGGACCGTTGGAAGCGCCGTCCTCGTCGTGTCGATTGGCGCGACGGCGTGTACGCGCATTGCGCACCTGGCGGCGACGCTCAGGGTCCATCGTGTTCTAGTTTACTACAAATGAGTTTGTGCTGAGCAGGTTCTAGAGGACGCACTCGTAGTGCATCACACGTGTGCACCGGCGGTGCGGAGGTTCTTGACAGCCTCTACGCCCCGTACAACCTCGTCTTCCCTCTACAAAAAAAAAAAAAATAGAGAGGATGTTCCTTCTTCAATGATATACGAACGGTGGTACCTTCGATGCTGATTCGCTTGCTTCGACGTCCAGACTTCTTCTTTTATAGAGAACGCAAGTACGAAAGAAGAGGAAAAAGGGAAAAGGACTTCCTTGAAAGTCGGTGCAATTCCGCTTGGCAAAGCAACCAAATACGTGTACATGTATGTAGCACAGACCATAACGAGCTCTCTCTCTCACCTCTGTTGTCCCACGCGCACAGAGGCGACGTGAGCACAGGGGCGGGGGGGCGACAACATCGCACGGCGCTGAAGGAGCTCAGCAAAAACAACAGCACAGACGCGTCTGTAGTTTGGGCGTGAACGATTCTACGCCGTTCCTTGCCATCCTTTTCTACCTACATCATTTGACTTCGTTTTCCAACTCAGTATCACACGCTGATCGCGCACACGCACACACGCACACACGCACACGCCCTAAACAAGAAGAATAATAATAATTAGATGAGGAAAAAAAATGTGAAGCAGATGAAGCAGGTGGAAACGCGGGGGAGGATGGGGGGGGGTCGCGGAAAGGAAAGAAAGCAAACCATCTTCTTCAAAGGGGTGAAGGAGAAAAACTGAAAGGGAGGAAGACACAGACACACACTTCAGCACACACGCACGCTCATCTGTCTACCCCGCATCTTCGTCACTGCTGGTGCTACCATCGCTGCTGGACGCCGAGGAAGAATCTGCCGTCTTGGCTGCCGCCGTCGGCTCCTCCGCCACAGCATCCTCGTAGCGCTCCAGGTGTTCCTCCGCCTGATCATTGCGGAAGATAATCAAGCAATGTAGGTTCCCCCGCTCTTTCTTCGGCTTGGCGACTGCCGACGGCTCGGTGAGCTTGCCAGACGGCCCAACACGGGTGTCTGCACGTGGCGATGCATCTGCCGCACAGGAGAGAGAAGAAGGAGAAGGCGGTGGTATGGCGTGCTGTGCAGCCGCAGCGTCGGATGCCTCCGCGTAGGTGGCCGGACTCGCTGGCGGTTCGGCAGGCCCTGCGTCATCACTGCTCTGCGGGCCCGTCCTCTCCGCTGCTGGGTCTTCTTCCGCGAGCACGCCGTTCGCAACGGCATCCACTACATCATCTGCTTCAACGTGTTCCTTCTCTAAAACGGCGTACGACGAAGAAGATGTCAACGACTCGGTCACCGCGTGGACGCCAGGCATGGGACTTGTCTGTACAGTGTCCGGCGCCGTCGCCCCCTCCGCGCTGCGCGCTGCTTCGACACTTGACTCCTCCCTCACACAAGCAACGAGTGCATGGGCACGTCCCTGTCCCTCCGCTATTTCTTCTCCGTCTTCATATTGTCCAGCTTTTACCAGCACCGCATCGCCGCTGCCGCCTTCCACACTCGCTGCCGCCTGCTGCTGCTGTTGCTGCTGCGCAGATGCGCACACCCCTGCATCGCTTATTGAGGTCGGTATCGGCCCCACCTGCACCGCGGGACCCGCCGGCCCTCCTCCCACGGCATCCCTGCTTTGAGGCGGCGTTGGTCGGAGTGCTGGTGGCGGCGCAACGGACGAATCAACGTTCTCCGCCGCCTTTTTCTTCTTTGGCTCGCGTCTCTGCACGCCCTGCTCGGGATGGCGGATGTTGAAGTAAAACGGCGACTTACACTCCAGGTCCTTCACCACCTCCGCCCACTTGCGCGCGTACATCGCCTCGTGACGGCCGCGGCTGACTTCGCCGATAAAGATCGTCGTGTCGCAGCTTGTCTCCGGCACGTCTGGCTGCAGGAAATCTGTCTGCGCGTGTGGGATATCCTGATAGCCGATGGGCACCATGTAGTGGTTGTGGCAGTGATAGACCAACGCGCAGTGCGGATCGCGGAGGGCTGCCTTCACCGCCGCGAGCGCCGCCGCATTGTCCGGGTAAAGGTGTGTCGTCTTGCCGTGCCCATGCACTTTATAGAGGATGTACGCCCGCCCGCGGTGCCCAAAGTGGCGGTTCAGCGCGTGAAACCAGCGGATGAGGGTGGCATTGCCCGTAAAAGGCCCCCAGGCGATCTCGCCAAACGGCGGCTCAAAGCCAAGAATCGACATCATCTCCTCCTGCGAGTGCGGGGCCCACGGCGCGCCCACCGCGTTCTCCCCCAGCCAGCTGTACAGGTAGTTGTACACAGACGTGAGGGAGGCGATGCCGCACCCACGCGGGTACTGCTTGTTGACGCACAGCAGGCGTGGCAGTCGCAGGACTAGGCGTTGCGCAAGATCATCACGGGTGGTGGTGAGGTCGGTGGGGATCAGCGCGGCGCGGTCTGCGAGGCCGTCCAGATGCACCACCTGAAGCCCGCCAGCTACAGCAGCGGCAGCGGGCACCACTGTCACTACGTTGCCTTCGCCATCCGCGCCGAGACCGCTAGCCGCCGTGGTCGATGCTTTTCGTGTCGACGTCACCGCCGTCGCAGGACCAAGTTGACTGCGCAGGCGGGATTCTCTAATGGCATCCTTTTCCCTCTTCGTCATCTTGCGCTTTGGCTTTGGCCTGCCGGTGCCGAAGTCAACCACCCACGCCTGTCCATCTGCTGCCGCTGCTGCTGCTACTCTGGTGATTGGGGGAAGCGCTTCCACCGGAGAGGCAGTTGCATCCGTGTCTTGTTTAAGCTGCTCCTCCGACGCTGGCACCCCCGCAACGCCAACCGAGGGAGGAACGACGGCAGGGACGGCGCTTTCTTCAGGGAAGGCCAGCGGAGAGGAGGCGCACAGTTCGTCTCTGCGTGGTTGCGGAACAGCGGCCGTGTCCTCTGGGGTCGTCGGCGCTGGTGCGGTGGCGGACTCGATGTCGATTTCCATCGCGCCCATGTCAATCCCTGTCATCGCCGTCTCCGTAGTATTGTTATTAGTAGTAGTAGTAGTAGTATTGTTTACCAGAGGTGTAGCTGCATCTCTGGCGGCATGTGCGTCCGCCTGAGTCACGATCTCGCCGATTTCAAAGCAGGTGGGTGATCTGTCGCCCTCCTCTTCGTCCTCCATCGTTGGCGATGGAAATGCGCTGTCGTCGTTGGCTGCCGCGCCTGCCTGTCCTGCGTCCTCCGCGCCGGCTGCATTGGCCGCTTCAGGGATGCGGTGTCCGGCTTGTTGCTCGTCCACCACAGGATGCTGCGAGCCGGGCGGAACAGCGGCGCGGTCCGTCAGGCCGTGCCCCTCCACTGGTCGGCGACTCTGCGCACGCGGCTCGGCCGGAGGCACAGGCACGAATGCCATGTCAGCAGCAGCAGCAGCAGCAGCAGCATCGTTGTCATCCGCCGCTGTTGCTGCTGCTGCAACAGCCACGGTTGAAGTGTCATCGGGTTGGAGTCCCTCAAAAGGCCTCGTCGCATCGTTGTCGAGGTAATCTTTCGTGGCACTGGACAGCGGCGTCGTCTGCTCCGGTGGCGGTGCCGCTGCTCCTGCTGCTGCTGGAGGAGCATCGAAAGCGGTGTCTCTCACGTTGTCCGACATGTTTTCTGTCTCCTGTTGGTTTGTATGTGTATGTGTGTGACGGAAGTAAAACCAAATAATATATGTATGCTATGCATATGAAGAAATTACGGTAAAGCAGGAGTCTATCTAATCATAACGTGAGAGGTTCTCCCACGAAAAATATTGCAGCGGTATGCTGTTCCTCTGTTTGCAGAGACCGCCTTGTGCAAGCGGGGTTTTGTGTGTCTCTCTCGACTGACGGTGAAGTGCGTAAGCAGCGATAAAGGGAGAGGTAATAGATACATAAATAAACCAGCTGATGTTGCGCGGTGAGGCTTCTCCGTCGACTCGAAAGAGCACCAACGAGAAGCGCGCGAGAGACACGCAATGAGAGAGAGAAAATAGAAAAGAAAAAAAGGGGGGTGCAACGGAAGGAGAATTGCTCGCCACGCACACGACAGAGCAGGAAGGAGTGACATCTCGAATCCCCACAAAACACAAAGCGCATTCCCCTCCCTCTCTCCCTCGTGCTGCTGGCGTCAACGTACGCCGCATGGTGGCCTCGCCTCATCCCCTCACCATTTCACTCTTGCGTGTTTCTGATGACGGTAAGCTCTCACCGTTCTATTCCGTACATTGAGTCACGCCGTCGTGCGTGTCGTCGACTTCTTTTTCTCTCTCTGCTGTGTTGTCGCTGGAGGTGGTACTCGCTGAAGGAAAGGGGGGAGTGGGGGCAGGATCCAGATCGACTTGGTTAGGGATGATTAGATATATATATATATATATCGAAGTCAGATTACTTTGTAAGGTTCGATGTGAGAAGGAACAGCGAACGGTCAAGTTCACAAAGAGCAAAACACGTGGTGTGGCAATAATGGAAGAGCGCACAGCGATCACACAGTCGCTGGCCTCTCTGACCAAAAACATATATATATATATATATAAATGAAATAAGTCAAGCTTGGAACAATCAAGCACTTTCCTATTGCTCTCCAGTTACTTACTTTTTGAAAGAGTGGTTTTTGTGGCTCTTCTCTCTCCGTCGAAGCGCACCCAACTTTAGGCGCCCACATGACAGGGAGAAAACGGGGGAAAATGAGAAGGGGGAAGAGAACACACCCACTGCAAGCGAGCGCTGACGTGACGAAGAAGAACCCCAGAAAAATATACATATGAACGCCACCAGCGTGGCTTTCACAGAAAAACTTTTTTTCTCAAGGAAAACACCTCATTTGCATTCTTCATCTTATCATGCATGTGTTCTTCTTGTCATCACTCGTTGTCACTCCACGTCGCTGCAGCTTCGCCGCGTCCTACTCGAAAGGGCAGTTCGTCGCCGACACCGTCGACGGCCGCTCCGCCTCGATATCCGCCATCAGCGCCGCGTAGTCTGCCGGGTCCATCGTGGCCCGCCAGTACGCCTTGTGGATCGCCTGCCGCAGCAGCGCGTATTGGTGGTCGCAGATGTACAGCCAGCGCAGCTTCCACACATCGGGGGTCCAAATCAGCACGATGCTGCCCATGCACAGCCACGGCACCCACCACCGCTGCATCAGCGGTACCCAGCCGGGGTGCTGACGGCGGAAAAGCCACGAGTTCACCTTCGGCGGCGGCGGCAGCACGGCGGCAGCGCCGCCACCAGCTGTGTTGTTGCCTGCCTGTGTGAACTGCGCGAGGTGCGCCGGGTCGATGGCCGACGTCCGCTCCACCTTGAACCCACGCGACGTCTGTGAGGTCTGCTTGTGCAGATACGTCCCACCGACCTGCATGGCGGCGGCGGCCTCTTCCGGAGTCAGGTGCAGCCCAGAGGAGCCCGGCGGTGTGGCAGGTGTCGCGCCCGCGCTGCCGTGTGTCGCCGACGTCGCTGTCGTGCTCGTCGCCTTCGTGGCCGCCGCCGCCGCCTCGTACTCGAGCGCGCGCTTCGCGTGACGACCAAAGTAGGGCACCTTACTCCACCACTTCGTCGCGTACGCCTCCATCGCCTTGGCGTTGGCGATGTCGTAGGCGAGGATTTCTTGTTGGATGTCACTCACGAAAGCCTCGGCAGCCTGCAGGTCGGCGGCCTCCGCGCTGTCCGCGGCCAGCCCCTCCTTGGGGATGCCCAGGATAAAGTTGCGCGTCATCGTGTTGGCCTGCTGGGCGGTGCTGCCGGCAGTGGCAGAGCCAACGTTCGGCGACGAGCCCGGGGATGCGGCGTCGCTGCTCATATCCGGTGGGTTGTGCGTGCAGAGGTGCCCTTCTTCCTCAGTGTCAGCGTGGTTGATGGTTTTAGTGGTTCCTTCTATCCACTGCGCAGCTGACGGTTGAAAGAAGAACAGAGAAGGGAGAAGGGAGAAGGGAGAAGGGAGAAGAGACGTGGGGGAAGAGGGGAGAGGAAGAGGGGAGAGCAATGCACAGCCACGAGCGGTTTCCTCTTCTCTTCTTGGCACACGAGTGTGGAAGGTCTGACAGCAGCGCTCGGAGCTGCGGCTGCTGCGTTTGAGGCAGTTGGCGCTGTCGAATTCTATTTTTCCCTTTTTGTTAATTATTATGAAATCAGCAGCATTCTGCTCTTTTCCTTTTTTTTTCTCGCGAAGCCGTGAAGGCGTCGTCGCACGAGAGATGGCACAGGGGAGAATGCAAGCATGGCTGCGAGGCTTCATGTCGGCGCTTCTCGGGGCTGCGTCTCTGATCGAGCGGTACCTAGAAGCGAAACACAAGCCACTCACTCGACGCACCGAGGCACCAGACTACTCAGCACGGCAGCGCCGAAGCGGCCTTGGCTCAAGAAGACCTCGCGCACCGACGCCAGAAAAACATGCGTGTTCTTCTCCTGCGGAAACACACCCGACGTGCCAGTGGCATTTCCGTTCGCCGCTGCCGCCGCCTCCGCCTCAGAAACTGCAGCAGCAGCAGCGGCAGCTAGCAGTCCGTCCTCGTCTAGGTGGCGGCACCCGCGCAGCCAGATGCGCTGGAGAGATGTCGATGCAGGTTGAGGATGCGGCAGTGGCGAGTAGGGGGAGCGGGTCGTCGCGCGATCAGCGGGAGAGGCAGCATTGGCCTGAAGCGACTCGACTGCTCTCATCGAAGGTGGCATCAGCACGGCACGTAAGTCATCGTGCGTGACGGCGGTCTTGGAGAGGTTTAAGTCCGTCAGCCCACTCATGCGCTGCAGCACTGCAAAACTGCTGTCTTTCGCGCTGCAGTTGCTGTTGCTGGTGATGGTGCCGACCAGAGGTGGTAGGTGTTCCGTGAGGGGGCGTGCAGGTGCCGCGGAAGTGGCGGACGCGGAAGGGGCGTCGCCGCCGCCGCCAAGCTGTGTGCAGCCCGATAAGGACAGCACACGCAGACGCGGACATGCAGCGAGGTACGGAAATGTCGTCACGTTCGTCAACTCCACCGCTTCTGTCACCGTGAGTTCACGCAACGCCGTGCGCTGCTGCTGCAGCTGCTGTTCCTCTTGCAGTGCAACCCTCTCCTTCATCCTCCCTCCCCCCTCTCTCACCTCTGGCGCGTCTGCTCGGAGGCACAGGAAGGACAGCGACGTCAGGCGACGGCAGCTCGATAGCTGCAGCACCTCCACCCGCGGAAAGTGCTGCAGTGCGCGAAGGCCGTCGGCGGTGACGTCGGTGTTCGAGAGCGTCAGCACGCGCAACGTACACGCAAACAGCGGCAGTTTGGAGGTGGTAAGAAAGTCTGCGTCGGGCAGTGCGGTGGGAGAGGCATCCGCACCCGTCGCAGGACGGTGGTTGCCTTCCACAGGATCCGCACACCCACCAAGTGCGCCTCCGTCAGCTTTCCGCTCCCCTCTCATGTCCTCTGCCGGGCACCACGCAGCCAAGGTGCACACCCTCGTGCTGGCCACATTCAACACCTCCAACGAAGTCCACCACGCCGTGGCGGTCGTCAGCGCTGCTGCGTCGATGTTCGTGTGGTACAAGTCGAGCTCCACCACCCGCGTGAAGCCACGCAGCGCCGTCAGCTGCGACAGGGCATCGCACGAACGCAGGAAAAGATGTCGGAGCTGCGGCAGTGCGTACGGAAGAGGAAGGGGAAGCGACGCGTCACGGTGCGCCGGCTTTCCGCCTGAATTGGCCTCGATTGTCGGGGCGGGTTGGCCGCGATGGCCATCCGTCGCCGCCGTTGCTGCCGCCTCCTCCAGCTGCACCGCAGCGGCGTCCATCACGAGACCTTCCACACCGCCGGCGCTCAGGTTGCTGCACAGCGACACATCAATCACGCTGAGACGCGGTGCCGTGACACGAGACGCACGACCGCCGTTGCCGTCATCACCGCCACCACCACCCGCTCCAGCGGAGACCGCCGTGCCCGTGCGGGCGGACGTGGGCTCCACAAACAGAACCGGCAGGCGAGTCAACGACAGACACCCTTGCAATCGCAGCAGTCGCAACGTGCGGGAGTGCCGCAGCGCGGAAAGGCCGGACGTGGTGACACCGGTGTGGCTCGCGTCCAGTGTGTGCAGGGCAGGAAGTTCTGCCGCAACGTTGATGTCTGTTAGCGCGGCGCATCGATCCACCACCACGCACTCTAAGCTCTCGATGTGTCGGAGAGGGCGCAGCCCCGCATCGGTGAGTCCGGTGCTCGTGGCAATGAGTACGCGCAACGTGCTGAGAAGAGGGGCAGGGGCGGCCTCGGCAGCACCAGCAGCGGCAGCATCGATGGCGTCCGACACCCCTGATGAAGGGGGAGGAGGAGAAGGGCGTGCTGCTCCGGCACTAGAAGCGGTTGGGGTGGTGGACGGTGAAGTGTCCGCGGGTGCAGTGCCGGCTTCGTCCTCGCCTCTGTCACTGGTAGCAACCGAGAAAGACGCAAGGCGACTCGCCGACGCTGGAAGGACAGTGATGGCGGGAATACCACCAGCGATGCGGTGACGCACGAGGTGTGCCGACGACAGCTGTTCTGTTGCTCTCGTTGTCCCTGTCGTTGATTCGAGCGTCCGCTGATCCGTCTGGAGCGACGGTGACTCGTCCTTCGGCACCTCCGCGGTCACCCAAAGCTGATCAATACAAGTGAAAGACGAACAGCCCTCTAGCTTCAGCCACTCAAGCCGAGCGCAGAAGCCAAGTGGGTACATCGCGGAGCCTTGAACAGAGGAGAAGGACAGGTTTAGCTCACGCAGGTGCTGCAGGGACGGCAACCAACGCACCCGCGTTAGCTGCATACAGCCCTCCAGGGAGAGCCGGGAGAGCATCTGCAGCTGCGGGACGTCACGCGCAGCGGACACGTCCCGAACCTGCGTGTAGGAGAGATCCAAATCAATTAACGTCTCTGACCAGTGCGTCGAGGAGCCCTTCCGAGGGGACGAAGAACGGCGATGACGGAGGCGAGCGTGCGAAGCGGCGGAGGGCGTCGTTGCCGTTGCGGTCGCGGTGGCGGCAGGGAGGGATGCGTTCGTTGCTGTTGCGATCCGCACACCGCCTTTGTAAGCGGAGGTCGTCCTCGCAGAACGCTTCCCGAGCGACGTCCGCATCTCGGCGAGGGTGGCGTCGACCGATCGGCTCACAGCATCGGGGAGACGCAGGGGATCGGTGTGTTGGGTAGAGGCGGAGAGGGACAGCGGTGGCAGCGGGGCGGCCGTGTCGGTGGAGGCAACAGCACTGGCGTCGTCATCGCTCGCGCTTACGAGGAAGGAAAGAGGCGGGCGTGGCTGCGTCTCCCCCTCCTTCTCCTCCTTCTCTGCTGCAGCAGCAGTAGCAGCAGCAAGGACCGCGCCATCTGAGTTCGGGAGAACACCGCCACCCACTGTGTTCGCACTATTCTGTGGCCGTGAAGACGATAACGGTGGCGGCGGCGACGGCGCTGGGGCGGCGAGGCAGCTGTCCTTTGTGCCCTTGTCTCCGCCACCATCGTCACCTTCTTCACCGGCGTCGCCCAGCACCACGTCGCTGGGCCGAAGAATGAAGACGGCCTGCCGGCGTTCCGCTACGTCTGTCTGCGCCGCCTGCCACAGCGACATCCGCATTTCGGCCTCGCCTTCTTCCTCCGCAGCGAACAGGTCGATTTGGCTGTTGTGCAGGGCGTCCTGCGATGCCCGCCGCAGCGGCAACAACACTTGACGCTGCTGTACTGGTAGTTGTAGCGGTGGTGCTTGCGTACTGCGGCTGTGCACCGTGCCGTCGGCCAGGTTCGACCTCACGCTCTGCGTATTTTGATCGTCGTCTGCGTCAACAGTGAAGCTATCGCTGCTGCGTGCGGTCGGCACATCCGGACTGCGCGCCGACGCTACCGTCGCTGCTGCTGGTGGTGGTGGCAGCGGCAGCGATAGGGATAGGGGTGGTGGCCGAAGAAGTCCGCCACGCTGTTCGTCGGCGGCCGCACCGTTGCCACACGGCGGAGGAGCAGGGATGACGTGCGCTTCACCAGGCGGCGGAGGCCCGGCTGACTTGCTTACAAAAAACGCCGAGCGAGGGGAATGTGTGTTGCCGGTCGGCGGCAGCGGCGGTGGGGGCAGGAGTGGCGATGGATGCTGTGACTGCTGCGCCGTGGAGAACATCTTTGTAGTGGTCGTTGTGTTGGTCGCCGTCGTATTGGTCGGAGACGACGTATCGGACGGTGTCGGGCACAGGAAGGACGTGCTGTGCAGGTCATCGTTCATCGCAAGAGACAGCCGCGTCACATCCGGACAGTACCGTGCAAGGTCGCGCAGCTGAGTTGGGGAGAGGGCAGCGTGGGTGAGGCGGACGGCACGGACTTCGGGGTGCCCGGGCAAGAGAGAGGCGAGGGCGGTGCTCGCAGCGCCTCCGTGCACGTACAACTCCGTCACAGGCGACGGCAACACAGAGGGGAGTGCGGCAGCCGGAGGCAACACGCTTGAACGGTCGTGCTTGGAAGCGGTAGTGGACGGCGACGGAGGTGCAGGGGCTGCTGTGGGCGTGACATGCGTGTCCACATGGTCAGATCTCCTCCTCGTGGGCCTCTTCGAGTCGGGCGTATCCGAATCGGTAGGGTGCGCCGTACTCCTCTCCGCAGACCCTCCTTTCCTTTCGCAAGCGAACCCGCGCGACCTCTCTCCCTGGAGGTTCTCTCCCTCCCCCGCCGTGATTGCCTCTGCCCTCAGCATGCTCCACAGGGCCTGCACATCTGCCTCGGTGTAGCGCAGGAGACTCAGCGACACCGGCAGCGGTCCACGGCGCAGCTCACCACCACGCGCGACAAAGCGCCTGCAGCGCCGGTGGGACAGGAAGAGCAGAACACGAAGACGAAACAGAAGAAGGCGGAGGCGGCGGCGGGGTGGAGTAGGAGGAGGGCGGTGCGCCCGCTGCCGTGGACAACGGCAACGGGCGAGGACTTAAGAAGGGGAAGGAATCGGGCCGCAGTGGCGGGGTAGAGGTCCAGGGCTGCGGACCAGATCGTACGTCGTCCCTGTACGCGGCCGCGTCACTCGTAGTGGGCAACACACCCGATGATAAGCTCAACCGGCGAAAGGGCCGGATGTTGGATGAACCTGGTGCCGCCGCAGCTGCAGCAGCAGGAGCAATGGCAATGGCGGTGGTAGGAAGGGGGGAGGAGGGGGAAAGAGGCGGGAAAGTTTGTGCCGCCGCTGCTGCTGCACCGAGCAGGGCGCCCATCGGCATTCTGCGACTCTGCACCACCGGTGAGGTTGCTGCTGCAATGCTGGGTAGACCACCTGCAGAGGTGTCCGCCCGTTGTGGTGTTGGTGGGCCATCGATGTCGCGCGAGGGGGAGCGCTCCACTGCCGCCGCGACCGCCGACCGACCCGCAGATGCACGTGGTGGGGGTGAAGGTGACGCCAAGGCCGTCAAACTCCGGCTCGGCGATCGGCGCGGAGTGTGCGGCAGCGAAGCAAGGGAGGAAGAGGTGGGGGAGACGAGCGACTGACGTGGCAGGAGCAGGTGTTCGCGTGCGGAGAGCGGTCGCCGCTGCACCGGTGAACGCGCCGGTGAGCACACGGATGAGATGGTTTGAAAGGGCAGAACGCTCAGAGGGACATTGGTGGAGGTGACGACGAGCTGTTGCGCGCACTCGTCCGCCTCCAGCGCCTCAGCCGACCGCAAAGCGCGTTGCTTTGAGCTGTGCTTTTGGTGCCACTGCCGCGCATGTGCGTGCTTCTCTCTCTCAAGACTCAGTTGACGCAGCAGCCAATCGGTAGAGCGTGGGTCCGCTGGCCACCGCATCACGCCGCCGCACCTGTAAGATCAGCGAACCCATCGGGGAAAGCAGGCAGCCGCCCGCAAGGTGCTCCTCCATCGCTCGACGGCAGCGCGGAGACGCGGCCAGCAACGCGAGCGGGCGTGTGATGATGCCGGCAGTCGCGGAGGATGATTGGGAAGGGCCCAAGGCGGAGGCGGAGGTGGCGGTGGTCGTGGTGCTGCTGATGGCGGCAGCGGAAGGGGCCTGCGTTGCCTGTAGGAACAAGCTTTCAGCAGAGACAAAAGCTTCCCCCACCGATGACGAGCCGCCAACGTGACCGTCTCCTCCTTCACCTCGTTCCTGCGTGTTGTTGCTGCTGCTGCTTGCGCCGTCGACGACAGAATTCGAGGCCAGATAGGAAATGATGCACATCAGGCCGCTTGGCGCCAATGGTGACTTGACGAGCATCGAAGAGGAAGCCAACGCAGGTGCACGAGACGCGTTGGATGTGGTGTCATGCGGCGCTCCTCTCCCTCTTCCTCTCCACTCCGCTTTTAGATTTGCCGCCATTGGCGCTGTTTTGTCATCCGTCGATGGAAATGCCACGGGCATGTGTCTTCCTCGCTCTCGATTCCGATTTTTGGGGAGGAGGGGAGGGAGGGGAACAAAACGAATGCGGGGAGCGCTGTTCGGTGCGACACGAGAACTAACGCGGTGTACGACGAACAGCTACAACAACAACAAAATATAAATGACAGGCAAAGGAACAATGAGAACAAAAGCAGTGGTGAGAACTACACCGTAGAAGATAGATGATAGATGATAAAATACCTTCGTAACGCCGATGTGGCACGACACCCAATGTTTGTGGTGTCGAGACTCGCACACGGCGGACGCCGAGAGGGGAGGGGGGAGAAACACGCAAAGTAATAGAATGCAATGGTGGTGGGTATACGGCTGCGATTGGCAGGGGAAAGGAAAAAAACAAAAAGGGAAGGAGGGGAACAAAAACGGTTACTTGGTTTCAGCTTCGTCGAAAGTTTGAGGTAAGAAAGCGGCGCTTTCCGCAACGACGACAACGGGGCGTAGAAAACAGAAGGAGAAGGGGGGAGAGAAGGAGAGATGGGAAGTGAAAGAAAAACGGCCGTTATCATTCTTCTCCCTCAACGTGCCGCTAAAACACCTCTCAATTGAGTGCACATCACTTCATAACCCACCAAATCTGATTTGACAATCTCGCCATGAGAGCGAAAGCACGATTTTAAAAACAATAATAATAACGGTGAACGACCCCACGCAGATGTCAAGTGGGCCTTACCTTCTTTCCTTGTTCTCCACCACGCTTCGCAGAAGCGATGTGTCCTTCGCCCAGTTCTTCCTCGCAGACGCGTTCACTGCGGGGTTTTTTAAATGTTGTTTGTTGTCGGAGACACGCACACACGTACTCTTTTGGGAAACAGAAGTCGTCTTGTTGTTCATTGCGGATGGCAAGTTCCATCGACCAAGCGCAGCAATGTTACTCTTGAGGGGGAGGGTGGCGTGCGTCACCGCCTGCACCTACATAGAGAAAGAGAAGGGGGAAAGTACACAAGAAGAGAAAACGAACTACAGCAAATGCGTAAAACACACCTCTCTAAAAAAAGAAAAAGCGAAAGAAAATAGCAGGAGCGTCGTGTTGGGAGAGCGCGCCAAACGCAGCGCATCCATCCGATGCGTGGAGGAGAAGAACGATCGAGCGAAATACGTAGGCAAGAAGGAGAAGAGCAAAGAGACAGGATCCTGTTGGCTCTTGAATGTTTGGCTCGGCGACGGAGCCTGGTGAGGAATCTCTCTTCGTCGTGGTGGTGGGATCGTTATGACTTAACGCATCTCGGTGGCAGCTGCGTACTGCGCCATTAACTCCTCCACTTGCCGCCGCGCTGCCCAGTTCACGCGCACCGCGACGCTCTCCAGATGCAAGTTCGTGAGCGGGGCCGTGTCATGCGCACGCAGCCACTGCTCGATGCCGTCGCGGTCGTAGGTGAAGTCGTCCACCGTTTGCACCGGGTCGCACATCAAGGTGCGCTTAATCGGGCAGAACAGATCTTGCGCGACGACGATGCGCGCCCGCACACACACCGGAAGCGCCGACGACGGGGGCGGTGCGTCAGCGTAGTAAGCTGCACCACCATCTTGTGGCCCTTGCACCGAAGGGGAAGCAGAAGCAGCGGCGGTGGCGTTGGTGGTCTCTACCGCCCCGTCTCGCTTCACGAGCGGTGCGGCGCGGTCCTCGCCGACCACCTCGGTCGCACCCGACACGTAAATTAGCAAGATGTGACACTCCGGACTGAGCTCCTGCAGCGCCTCCGGCAGCCTCAGCGGCGGCGGGGGCAGCGGCAGAAGAACCTCTAGCACGTTCCGCACCAGCGGAATCTTGCGACCGGCCGCAATGACAAGGCGTTGCTCGCGCCACAGCAGACCTGCGCCAGCACCCACGACAAAGTTAGCCACGTATATCGGCAGCAGCTGCATGGAGGAGGCCGGCGACAGCACCACGTCGCTGCTGGAGGCCAGACCCTGCGCCTGCAGACTTACAGGGGGTCGCCAGGTGTGCCCCTCGCCCATCGCCGTCGCGCCGCTGCTGCCGTGGTAGCGCTGGGCAGCGGCGCGCTGATTTGCCTGCCGCAGCAGAAGATCGAGCGCGTCGGTCAGGCAGTTCGCCGCCGACGTGGTGAGCTGCTGGAAGTCGGCGTAGAAGGCGAATCGAAACCCGCTGAGGGCGAAGACGAAGGCGTTGCCGCCACACAGGAATACGCGTGCGGGCTGCGGGGCACGAGCGGGCCCGTGGGCAGAAGCCGCAGGCGTAGAAACGGCGGGCGGTGGCGGCGTCGGCGACGATGCTGCGGTGGGCGGCGTATGCGCTGGCTCGGGGGACCGCAGCGCCATGCGCCCCAGTCGGAACAGCGTGTCTTTTCTGCCGAGCCGCAACAAGGTAGACAGCGCGGTGTGTGTGAAGCCGTTTGCTGCGTCGCCGTCCGCCACCGGAGAAGCCGGGCGCCGGCCCAGCGTGCGCAGCTCGCCCACGTTCGTCATCGCCTCCAGCCAGAACGTCTGCAAGAGAAGGTTAATGCCCGTCGAGACGCAGGAGGCAACGAGCAGATCGCGCCAGCCGCTGCTGAGCCGCACGGAGGAGGTGTTCTGACCGGGTCCGCCGTTGCCGAGCACGAAGCCGGCTGCCCCGCCGCTACTCCACGTGCTCATGCGAGTGCTGAGGTAGGTGACGAGGGTGTCGTAGAGCATGTGGCCGCTGGCGTGCACCCACGTCGCGGTGAAGCTTGTCACGAGGCGCAGCAGCAACCTCACCGCAACTGGCCGGTTGCGATGGACGGTGTCGCTCGCCTGTAAGGCGGCGCGCTGAGTGCGCTGAAAGAGCACGTACGTGAGGAGGCGCTGGGGGTAGGTAAGGAGGGAGAAGAGACTCTCCGCGATGCGGTGCGACGTCCCCGACAGCAAAGCAGCGCCGGCGCCCCCCGTACCACCGCCGCTGCCGCTGTCGCTAGAGCGAGACGGCGAGTTATTGATCGTGTCCGCAAGTCGCGCCGACAGCTCATCGGCGGTGAGGCCGCTGCGCGAGGAGGTACGTCGCCACCGCAGCAGCGGAGGAAAATCCATCGACTGTGGCACCGCGATGGAGAGGCGCAGGATGAGGGAGGGGGCGAGGCGGGTGGCACCGAAGACGGTCAGCCACACCAAGACAGGGAAGAGCTCGTCACCGACGGTGTTGCCCGCCCGCGTCATCGCCGCGCTGAGACGGCGTGGGAGAGACGCCCGCATGCTTCTTGTTGCGGCTGAAACTGGCGTGGGTTCTTTCAAATATTCTTGTTTTCTTTTGTGGATGTGTGCAAAGTGTTGTTACCGCTTTACAAGTGGAGGTGGCAAGGATGGGGACAGGCGATGTCGTTGCCGACGATTGCACTCCACCACTTCGCTACAAAAGGCGAAGAAGGAAGGAAAGAAAGAGCGCGTTTCTCGGTTGAAGAGGAACCGCAAGAGGCGAGGGGGGTGGAGATGGAGGCACGCACCTCTATGCACGTGGCTTATCACAGAACGAAAGCCCGCTGTGGAAGAAAAGAAAAGGGAAACAGAATATGCCAAGAATGGGGTACGAAAAAGCTACGCGAGACGGAAAAGTAGAAGAAATCGTCAGCACACGATCGCACGGGTGCTGCTTGCACATGGCGGGGAAGGGAGCTTAGGACCATCACTACACGCGGCTTCCTTTCCTTTCGCGGAAGTGCTCTCGGGCCCTGTCTGCACTTGGTGAACAGACCGCCCATTTGCCATGTCGGTGCCCAGCTTCCATGTTCCTTTCTTGATCTTACTACTGCGCTTTCCTTCGGTTAAGTTAGACAATAATGTGAAGAAATTCGTATCCCAATCATCGTGTCGTGCCTCTCAGCAAGACGCTAGCCCTCACAGCTGCGATGCGCGCCAAAACGGGTGCGTGTGTGTTTCCTCTCCTCTTTTTTGTTTGTTTGTTTTTTAGCGACACCGCGTGTGTGTGTGTGTGTGTGTGCACGGGTGTGCCTATACACGGAAATCACCCACGCCACGATGCGCACGCGTGCACCTCCACCACGCCGAGGGACGCACACCGTGGCAGCTCGCCCTCCACCGCGACCAGCGCCGTCAGCAGCGCCGCCGTTGCGGTGTTCACGTTCAGCGACACCTCCCTCTCCCGCACGCGCGCCAGACGCTGCAAGTTGTGCTCGCGCTTCTCCATCTCGGAGAAGGAATGACGGGGAAGGGCGCCACACGCTGCCGCGAGACTTTTATCAGCGACATCACCGTCGTTGTCGGCGTCGCTGACCCGGCCCAAGTGCACATCGGAGTCGGGGGACGGTGTGGAGTGGTGGCCGCTGCTGCTGGTGCTGCTGCTCCCGCCCTTTCGCGCCTGTCGCAGTCGCAGCTGCCGCGGGGAGCGGACGTGGGCAACGTGCGTGCACCACCGCAGCAGCTCGGCGGGGAGCCCGGCATCCTCGTTGCCCAGCAACAGCAGACGTACCGCCGGCGGAGGACGATGACAGTGACCGTCGTCATCACCTGAGTCCCTCTCTGTTCGAGCCTCGTCCTCGACGGCTTCACGATCGTCCCTTTCTGCGGCAGCACCATCGGTGCCTTCCGCTGACGGCGCAGACGCACGCGGCACCGCAGCGAGCGGAGGCGGCTCGGCGACAACCGCACTCGCAATGACATCCAGCCGATCACCGCCGTCCATCCGCGAGATGCGCAAGAAGTCTGCGGTCGGCACCGTAGCGCGATGCACGTGTAGGTGTTCCAAGAATCCGGTGCTGGTGCGGGACACCGTCGCGAGTGCATGCGGCACAGTCCCGACTCAGAATAACGTGGTCGACGCCGAAGAAAAAGGCGGTGCGCAGGATGCCGCCGACGTTGGTGGGATCGAGAATGCGGTCCAAGAAAAGGACCAGCTCCCTGCGTGTCGAGGCGGAGGCAGACTTCAAACTCGGGGCACTGCTGTCGCTGCCGCCTTCCACCTGAGTGTCCTCAGCGCCGTCGGTGCTGCGTCGCCAGACGTCGGCGAGGCGTCCCACTTCGAGCGGGGCGTAGGTGGAGGCCTCCAGCACCACGTTTTGATTGCGCCGCTCCCCGCACAGCTGCACCAACTCGCTTCGAGGCACAAATCGGATCGGCACCTCGAGCGACTTGGCGAGAGCGGCGATGCAGCGCACGGCGGTGTACCGCGCAGGGATCACCTTCTCTTTCCTCCTCCTTCTGCCTGCCACGCTCACCGTCTTGTGCGCAGATCGGCCACGCTTGCCGTTGCTTCCGTCCTCCTCCTCCTCCTCCAGGCTGAAATCACGCACGTACAGACACGACAAGTGGCCACGGTGGGGATGCAATGAGGAGGGGCCGCCAACGTGCGGGCTCGACGCCGCTGCAGACGATAATGCCGTGCGCTGGCTGCTATGAGCTTCTGCTGTACCTTCCCTGCTCTCCTTCCCCTTCCCTGCAGCTTCTGCCGGAGCATCGGAAGAACCTGCGGAAGACAGCGCGTTCCGCTGCTGCTGCTGAGCCGCTGCCGCCGCCACCCGCAAAGTATTCAAGACAGCGTGTACACCGTAGAGTCGGTCATAGTGCGCAGGCGGCGGCTTCGGAATGGGACTCCAGCGATAGCCGCTGGATTTGTTGTAGGCCAGCAGCAGTCGTGTGCGGCGCAGCAGGCCCGCTGTGGCAGGAATACGCAGCATGGCGTGCGTATTTGTGTTGTACTGCTGTTCTTGCGTGTGTGTGTGTCTGTCTGCAAAAGCTTTAGCGGCTCCACTTGGCTGCCTCGCTTTGTGTGGTGTATCGGGGAGAGCGACGAGGAGAGAGACAGTAGAAAGAGGCGAGCTTCTCTTTTGCCGTTGGCTGCTGAGGACCACTTCTTTTCTTTCAGCGCGAAGGCAGCGGCAGTTGGAGTGTGCCTTATCCTTTATATCCGCAGAGAGTGCTATGGCGCCACGTGAATGCGCGCGCACCCGAAAAGCCCATCTGTCCGTCCGTCACATTGTAGTTCGCTCACGATACACTCCGGCAAGGTTGACGGCGTGGAAAGAGAAAGGAAAAACCCCTTGAGTTAGATGGGTGTTCAGCTACACGTTGAGCTTAACTCATCTGCTGTTTTCCCATTCCGCTAAGCGCATGTGTATTACTTTATATATCTATATTGCCGTTAATGTGACGCACGATCCACACCGGTCCCGAACCGCCCGGAGACGACGAATCGGGGAAAACCCATAGATCCGACAACAACGAAACATCCAAAGCCAACAACGCTGCGTGTCCGTCATCACTCTGCACAGACGTTCCTTTCTTCCTTCCTCCACCACCGCCTTATCGCGGAATGTTTTTGGGCATCAAGGTGACGTAGTTCTGCAGGATCGACCGCCAGCTCTTCTTGTACTTGCGCAAGATTTTCATGTTAAAGCGCGACCACATGTACGCCATCTGTCCTCGCTCCTTCAGGCTGTAGTGGGTCAGCCGAGAGTGGTAGTCGAGCTCCTCCATCACCTGCAGACGCCGCTCCTTCATGAAGTTGCCCACATCCTCGCCACCGGCAATGGTGCGGGCCAGCGTGAAGCAATCGGTGAAGCCCTGCGCATCGGACACGTCGACCGCGTCGAAGCACGAGCCGTGCGCGGCGTGCGCCACCTTCAGCACCCGACCCCCGCCCTCCGACCAGTGCGGCATGAGAAAGAGCGGGGTGCGGTAGATCAGCGCGCTGGACTTCGTGAAGTTCTGCTGCAGGTGGGTAAACATGGGCCGGAACATGGTGTGGGAGATGTAGCCCGGCACCCCTGAGGTCCAGTGCATCACGACGTCATCCCAGAACAGCTTCGTGCTCGTGCTCTTGAGGCGTGGGTCGGTGGTGCCGTCAGGGATGGAGATGGTGACGTTGTAAAACAGCTTGGTCGCCATCATGGTCGGCCGCACGATCATCTTCGCATCCCGCGGCGTCAGTATCTCCACCACCTCCTGCGAGCCCGGGGTGAAGCGCTTCTCAAACTTGCCGAGCTCCGGCAGCGGCGGCACGCACAGCTCCATCCACCGCACGGATTTGCTAAACGTCGTCTTGTACTTCTCCGCGTTCTCGGCCCGCTCCTGCAGTTCCTCGTTCGTGATGGTCAGCTCGGGCACCAGCTCTTGGTTGCGGGCCGTGCAGATCACACCGAGATAATCCTGATGCACCCCGCTGGCGAAGCGCACCCGCACCCCGCCGTTCTCCAGCGCCTCGAGTCCGCCCTTGTCGATCAGCGGCTTCGGCAGCACCGTGCAGCTGTGCGTGCCAATGTGGCAGAGCGACAACATCGCGGACTCCACCTTGAGACGGTCGCAGCAGAAAAAGGTGGGGCTCTCGCCCTTCTCTCGGAACTCGTTGAGGTCGATGTCGCACATGTCGTTGCCCACGTGATCGAAGGTCAGCACGCGGCACCACGACGCTGCCGGACGGGACCGACACGTTCAGCACATCACCCATGAGCTGCGTCACGGACGGCGTCAGCACAATCGTGCCACGATCCAAGTCGTTGTGAGAAGCGTGGTGCGCCAGATCACACTCGAGGCCGTGCACACGCAGGCACAGCGCCATAAACGGGGCCATCAGCCCATCCCCCACCACGAGGTACTTCCCCTGCGAGGTCAAGTCGCCTCCTTGCTTGATGTAGGAGGCCAGCTCACCACCACGGCGGGCACCGAAGGCCGTCAGGGCGTGACGCGAAGACGAAGACGCGGAAGAAGAGGCAGGGTTCCCGTGTGCGCTGTGATCGGTGGAGAGGGCTCTGCGCCCGCCTCCCGCTGCCATGGCGCGACTGCCAAAGAGGGCACGTCGACGGCGTTGATCCTCCTCTGCCGCCGCCGCCGCAGCAGCAGCAGCAGCAACATCGGAGGAAGAAGAAGGCGTTGACGTTGACGTCGCCTTCTCCGCGGGTTCGTCCACGATGATTGAGGTGTGGTGCTCAGCTTGATTCGCCGTGTGTGGCGCAGCCGATCCTGCTGGTGACGGAGCCTCCACAGTGGAGGCGGCGGCGCTCGCCTCGGCGTTCGCCGGAGCCTTCTTCATGGGCCCCTTCTCTGCCGCATGAACGTTCGAGTCGGAGACGGTCATCGCGGAAGACGCAAACCAAAACTGGCGTGACTTTGTAACCTTTTTCTCAGCCAATTTGCTGTTGTTGTTGCTGAGTGAGTTGCGGTGCTGAGTGGAGCGAGAAACGACCACAACAACGATGCGGCAATGAACCGACAAGTCAGTCTCGGACGGCGCTGTGCAGCCGGTGAAGACACTAGACAGTACTACTTTTTCTTCCCTTTTGAAAATGCTGTTCGAGCTACGATACCTAGCATACGAGAAACGATCCCTACTTTCACTAGAGAAGACGAGACAGAAAAAGCGGAGAGAGCGAGGTGCCTCTGCGCGGTGAGTCGTCTGCCACGCCAATGCGTTCGTCTGTAGGGCAGCACGTGTGCGGTGTGGCGACGGGCCGGCCGACACCGATTTATGTGGTGCAAAAGAGAAAAGAACGAAGCGAGGAAGAGAGTACGGAGTGAGTTATAAAGGAGCGTGGAGGGGTCCGGGGGGGGGGGGGGGGGGGG